ATCGTAATTAAGGATTTTTTGGTTCAGCGAGGATGGTGAGTAGCGAGGCTTTGAAGAAGTATCTGGAAGAGAAGATATATCCTAAGATTGGGGAAAGGCCGTTCTCGGTGGTGTACGTGCACACTGGCGTTCAGAGGTGCGAAAATTTCCCCGGCCTTTCGACCTTACGATCGATCTACGAGGCTATTCCGATCAACGTCAAGGAAAATCTCGAGGCCGTGTATTTCTTGCATCCTGGAGTTCAGTCTAGACTCTTCCTCGCCACCTTCGGTCGTCTTCTTTTCAGCGGAGGGTAAGGCAAACGGCGCTGCTCATCTGTCTTCTTTTGAATTCAGAAGGGAAGAGATGAGATTCGATTGACACGTTTCTGTTATGTATGCAGATTGTACTGGAAATTGCGATACATAAACAGATTAGATTTTCTATGGGACCACGTGAGGAGGAACGAGATGGAGATACCGGAATTTGTGTACGATCACGACGAGGAATTGGAGAACCGTCCGATGATGGACTATGGGTTGGAGAGTGACCATCCTAGAGTTTACGGAGCACCGTCTGTTGACCCTTCTGTTTCCATGTACTCCATGAGGTGCATAGCGTAGAATTGCAGAGCAAGAATTGATGCCAGTCCCTATGGTTTTTGTTTTAGATCTTGCTTTTGTAGTGTTTGTCTGTGCAGGAAAAAGGGGAAAGCTGAAAGGAAAATTTCAATCCGGAACCAAGAAAATTTTACATGCCTCCAGCCTCCTTAAAATTTATCCCCTCCATTTCCCATCGAAACATACTCTAAATTATGCACATGTACACATGAAAAGAAATGTAAGACATTCTGACATTAAAAAATATTAAAATATTAAAAAAAAATTTTTAAACAGGGTTACAAATTTGGGAAGGGGAATTGAACCCTAGCTCTCGGAGCGTGAGCATGCACTTTATAAATCGGTTTATTGTGGTTGGGTTGTGAGTCCCAAGTGCAAAATATTTAAAATTTTAATCATAATTTAAAAGAAATTTACATTATATGGATGTCTTGATTGTTTGCATATCTAAAAGAAATACTTACATTAAAGTTCATAATTTTTTAACATGGATTTGGCCAAATTGGAGGTGGCCAGTGGCCTCTTTAACTGTAGAAGGAAAAACTTGGTATGATTTGATGGTTCCATAATCCCAAATTTAAGATAATAGTAAAAAAAATGACTTACTCTGAGATAGAGGAGCTGCATATTGTGAAAATTGAGTACAAATCTTTGGAGTAAATGTGGGGATGATGATACCAATTTTGTTTTATTTAAGGGCATAAATTTTTTTAGTTTTTAAATTAATCAAGCTGTCACCTACTAACTTTTTATAAGTTTTCTATTTAAAGATTTATTGCATCCATTAGCAATGTCATCACCACCATCTATTAAATCCTTAAATAAAACGAAGAAAAAAAAGAAAAAAGAAAAAGCAAAGTTCTATCCTAATTTTTTTTAGAAAAAATTGAAAATTAGATAGCTTTATTTAGAAATGGTAAAAGTTTTGTATCCTTATATAGAAAAATGACCAATTCTTTAAGTTTTTAAGAAAAAAAAAAAAGAACCTAAAAGGAAAAATAAGCACACCACATATTTGTTTATGGTTTTTTAAAAAGTTTATTTTTCACTCATTACTGGTGTATCTTTTTTTTTTAAAAAACAGTTACAACTTTATGGGTGAGAGATTCAAAACCTAACCCTTGAATTAAAAGTGCACTTATAACATGATTTATAATCATTGGGTCAATAAAGTCAGGTGGATTATTGTTCTATCATTGACCACTTTGTATTTGAGGCTTTTCAACAGTATCTCCATTGCTCTCCCCTCCAGCATTGCTCCCTTTAATGGTGTCTACATTGTTCTCTGCTTGCAAGCTTTTTCCCTTCAGTGATGGCGACTTGCAGATCAGGATAGTTGCTGTGATTTAAAGAATGCAACCACAGCCCAATCAACTCCTTCCTTATGTTCTGTTGGTGCGATATGAGAGTAAATATGCTTCCTTTTAAATTCTTCTGCTTCTTCTTCTTCTTCTTCTTCTTCATAAGCTTTCATAGACAGCTCTTCATGACTGTCTTTCCATTTTTGGTTATAAGATGTAAAGTGGCACGCATCCAAGTATAACCCAACCTCCGGTGCCGTAGGT